TGCTAGTTTATAAATTCAAATTTTAATTAATTAAATTAATAAGTTGTTTAAAATAAATATAATTTGTTTTATGTTTTTAAAATATATAAAAAAAAAAAAAATTAAATATTTGTGTGTTTCATGTTTTATATATATACAAATTTTATTGAAAATTAAATCTAACTAATATTATCTGGACTTCTCTTATAATCAAATTTAATTAATTTAATTACATAATTAATTTAATACATCTTTACTTTTTAAGAACAAAAATTGTTGCTTGTTACTAGTTTGAATAATCTTTTATACTTATTTTTACATTTATTATATTTATTTATTTATATTCATTTCATTTCATTATTCATATTCATTTATTATATATTTTGATTTAGATATATGAAAAATGTCAAGTTGACTATAAATTACAATTCTATGTATATTATTTTTCTCTCAGTGTATATGAATGGATGCCATTGAGAAAGCACAAAATGTAGCTTGTCCCTTTGTCTGTGTATGAGTGCGTTTGTGTGTGTGTGTATTTGTTTCTTGACCACAAAATTACAGTTAACAAATTTGCAGAAACATTTAGAAAAGTTGCACTCGAAACAGAGTAGAAACGCAGAAGCCCATTCTAACACCATGGTACCATATCACCGCCCAACCACCCAGCCACTCAGCCACTTGGCCACTCCTGCTGGCCTGCACTCGAAGAGCTGTGTGGTGAACTCTCTTAATTGCAGCCGGAGTTTAAATTTGTAAATTTACCAAAGAAGCTTTAACGTTGATTAGATTAGGCAAAGAGTTTCCGAACGAGGAGACTCTTAAATGGAAAGGCTACGAATAACTACTGGATTATTCAGTTATGTGTGGTTTGGTTTCTGCTAAATGCTCGACCCACTCAACTTGCCGAGGATTTATAGCCGGTAGCTGTAGAAGCAACGGCCCACAGAGACAGAGAGCGAGAGAGAGAGAGAGAGAGATAGATAGATACTGAAAACTCTGAATTTAGAAAAAAATCTCCACACGCTTTAAATACACCTTGTAAATCACGCCTTTTGTCAGCATCAGATAACGTTTGGCATAAATTTAGTTTTAATTGACTTAATGCTTGTACTTTTATCAAATAATTAATTACAGCTCGAAGTGTGGGCAGCTCCTCTGACTCCGGACAAACCAACTAAATGACAGCGCAGCGAGCGCTAAATGTTGTTGCTGTTGTATTGAGAAACCAGTTTAGGATTTCTATATAAATATATATACCCTGCAGATTCCTTCCCACCTCTGTCTGTCCGGCACATTTGCTGTCACTCAAGCGTCACAAGTGGCAACAAATCAAATGGACGACATGGCGAGTAGTTCGGGCTGTTGACCAACTGTCTAGGCCTGGTCGATGCTACATCGAACTGAAATTGTTGAATTGATAGGCTAATAGATTTAGTAGACAATTATACAATGGGCATTTGATGTTGGGTCAGTGCTATTTACATAAATATACCCTATATGCCTAAGGTCAGCGATCTTCCATTAACCATTACTAATGTTTTTTTTT